AGCCTGAACCAAAGGTACACAATAAATATTCAAAGGAAGATAGTCCCACTATCACTGGATTTAGATTTTTTGATATGGAGGTCCTGTCATCTGTTTTTGAGCAGCTACGGTGTGGCGATTGTGGCAGTTTCGACTTTGCGCTTATTGTGTGAACACTTTGGCTGGAAATTTTCTTTATGTACTTCAAGAAAGCAAGGAAAGAGCTATGAAGTAAATCGACTTCTTGTGTATGGCATGAGAACTATTGGCAAAGGCTATGCTGGAGCAAGAAAATTCTGTGCCATAATGAACATGCCTTCACCACCAACTGAGAAAGCTTTCATTTTCAACTCACAAGTCATCGGCCGACACGTCAAAATAATACAGAAGGGAGTATGAAGAAAGCTGGTCAGGATGTTAATGCTCTCAAAAGCCAAGGAACTTCATCTGCAACTGGACCAGTTAATTGTGGCATTTCATGGGATGGCACATGGCAAAAGAGAGGTTATTCCTCACGTAATGGTTGTGTCACTGTAATATCCGTGGACACAGGAAGGGTGCTTGATGTAGAAGCCCTTAGTCAAGGATGCAAACAGTGTGAGCGCCATGAACACTTGGATAAAGCCTCTCTTGAATACCAGACTTGGAGAGCTGAGCATACCAAGTGCAAAGCAAACTTCTGGGGATCAGCACCAGCCATGGAGCCGAAGAGAGCAGATCGCATATTTCGGAGGTCTGTTGAAAAACACAACCTCAGATACACTGAATTTTATGGTGATGGTGACAGTAAGAGCTTCACAAGGGTGAAAGGAGTTTATGAAGATGATGGAATAGAAATGGAAAATAAGGAATGCATTGGACATGTCCAGAAGAGAGTGGGAACTGCACTTCATAAATTAAAGCAAGAGAACCCAGGCAAGGGTAAACTGACTGATAGTCAAATAGACAAACTTCAAAACTACTATGGCATAGCCATAAGATCAAATGTTGGAAACCTTGCTGGCATGAAGAAAGCAATTCATACTAGCCTAATGCATTGTGCATCCACTGAGCAACGCCCCCTTCATGACCACTGCCCAACAGGCAGTGCAAGCTGCTGCCGTTATCAGCAAGATAAGGCAAATCAGACCAAGCTGTACAAACATGGACCTGGCTTACCCCTTGAGGCAATAACAAAGTTAAAACCGGAATATGTTAGACTCAGCAATGACATTTTACTGGAAAAATGCTTGTATGGTAAGATGTAAAATCAGAATGAATCATTAAATGGAATGATCTGGCAGAGAGTCCCAAAAGAAGTTTATGTTGGATGGGAAACACTAGAACTAGGACTGTATGATGCAGTTGCTCATTTTAATATTGGAGCAGTTACTGTTATAAGAATTTTCCAAGCCTTCAGCATTCCCCCTGGAAAATATACGGAAGAGGGTTGTAAGCTTCTTGATCAGCTACCGGTGGATATAAAAGCAAGGCAAGCACCAAAAAGAGAAGAAAAGTCATAAGAGGACCAAAAAAAAGAAAAGAGGACAAAAACAAAGAGAGGGTGTTAACTATGCCTCTGGACAGTTCTAAGAGTTGCCTAATATGTAGAAACTCTGTTACAGTCATTGCGAATTATATTTCTCAAAATTTTATATTTTACGGAACTATGAACACTCTAGCAACCATAACTTTTCATGGTTTTATTCAATTCTTCTCATTTTTGCAGTGCGAAATCTTTGTATGTTTTTACATAAAATGAACTACAATCATTTACCTTGGTGTAATTTTGTTGTCTGAGGGCCCAAAACTGGATCCTTAATTCAGTTTATTTTGATTGTCAATATGCTTATTGCAATAATTTTGTATCTATTAGCCTGATAAGAATGGCTTCAGTTCATTGCATAAAAAAGAATTGGTAGATGAAATTCCAAAAGTTTCAGCAGTTTTTCTTGTAATGTCTTGGAGATAGAAGTGTTTTCCCAGGGGGTTTATTTTTAGCATTAGTGGTTGCTATAGTAACTAAACAAGTCAAAAAGTATAAAAATATACTCATCTCATGCTATAGTTTAAGAATACCTGGGAAAACTTTTGCAAAAGAACATATCAAAAAATGGTGATTTTTGAGGAATGTACCACCTTACTCAGGAACAGCTTTGTCAACATTACATGGAAAGAAAATGGCTCTGCTCTTCACAGAGATTTGGTGGGTGTTGTCATGGACGAGTGTTACAGAGTTATGTGGACCACAAAAAGGTAAATTGGCATTAACTATGAGTTTTTTCTTCATCTCGAAGGCTTATCAATCACTCTGATCTGATGTTTGTTTTTCGTACTTCAGGTTGGTCAGTAAACAGGAAACACAATTCTGCAGCTGCCACCTTTTGTAAGGCATTTGGAAAATAATCGACTCTCTGATCGTTTTGTAAGCTGGTTAAGTTGAATGTTTATTCTCAAATCCTATTGAAGGCTGAAATTTCAATTTTCTGCATTATATAAGAACAGATAAAAGCGCTTCTGGTCTTCATCTTCATGAAAATAGTGGACTGTATACAGTATTCTAGATGTGTTCGGATTTTATCTTTTATATATATTTAGATGTAATAATCATTGGACACACATGAATTTATACCAGCTATACTTACTGTACAGCTGATTCATTCTGCAGGGTAAATTAAGTTTTTACTTTTTAAACTACTGTATTGTTATTTTACATATGCATGTTGAGTTTTTTAACCTTAAAGTAAATAACAGATTCGGCCTTCTTAAGCATATCTTTGCCACATGACTGAATTTTGAGAATATCCTATTTCCTTCTGATATCTGTCTCTGACATATGCTTTAACTTGGGTACAGCAATGGCCTTATCATGAGGGTCCACAATAGGTTTGGCGGGATGCGGGCTGAAAACAGGAGCGGGATGCAGGAATTTTAATAACAAGCGGGAGCGGTATTTCCTATTTTTATGGGGAAGGGATGCGAGAATGGTAAGGGAAAAATAGCGGGATACGGGAATTTAGTTTTGTCTTGACTAAAAATTTATTTGCATTGACTGAAAGAAAATGGTTCTCTAGTGTATACCGCCTTTGTAGTCAAGCTACGAGTGTCAAAAGAAAGTAAAGCCTGTCAAATTTTGCCTATTATTACTTTTGTGTTGTTTGTCTTTTCTGGTTTTGCTATTTTCGTCGTTTTCGTCACTTGGAAAGAGGAATCAAATCACTGAGGTTAGAAGTCACGTTCATTACGATCATGAACTGATCTGCACTGATTCCTGTTTTGTTGACGGATTTGACCTTTTCTGCTTTTGCCTGGACGGACCTGTCCGACCTGGACGATCTTTTGGACTGAGCATTTGTTAAGTGAGTCTTGCCTCGGTATGGCAACACCGTAACTGATGGACGTGGACAATGAAGACAATGTAGTAGACATCATAAATTGTGTGGCTCTGTATTACAAAAAAGATGCCGGTGGGAATGCTTTTCTTCCTAGCCTGTGTGGCAGGCGCAAAAAGGGGAGGGGGAGGGGGGAGGGAGAAAGGGAAAAGGGAAGGGAGCGCCTGCTCTAAGAGCCTATGTTTTTGCATAACGCCCACCAATTTTCTAGTAATCCAATTACACTTACTGTCAATCAAGTGTCGCTACACTCGCCAATCAGAACGCAAGGTGGAACCCTGTGGTTACGCGGAAATTTATTTGATTCGCCGGGAACTCACGTTGCATAAATATTTATCGAAGCGAGAAATTCTCACTTTTGGACAACCAGAAATTTAACGTGGAAATGTCCGCGACTCCCACGAACAGTTCAAAACGAGGACGAAAAAAGGATGGAGGATGTAACGATCATTGTTGATTCTGTTCGTGCTCTTTTGAGAATTCGGACACAAGAGCGTCTTTCGAAAATTTGTTTTCGAAATCTGCGAGGAAAGAGAGTCCAGGTACAGTGTTGGCGGATTGCTGTTTATCAATGGGATTCCCATTGATTAAAAGTCAAAGCGTGTCAGAGCGTGTTTGTAGGTCTTGTGGCCACAAAATAAGAAATGCATTGGAATTATACAGGTTTATTCATACAGCTGTTACCTGTAGTAATGATTCGGCGACAGGCAATGAAACAGAGGAAAGCGATTTACAAGAATGCACGAGCAAATGAGAACTTCCCACAACAGTAACTCCTGATCGCCAAAAAGGGAAAAGACGTCCAGGAAACCCAGATGAAGAATTAACCGAGTGCGGTAGTTCAAGAAAGTCCCTTCAGTTTTCTGAAGATAGTGCAGCGGCAGAGAGCGAAAAGATAGATGGTGCTGTCTTATCGCAGGATACCATCTCTAATGTTCCAGGCGGTGATGTTTTAACATGCCACCTAAATATCGATGACCTCGCAGAATCTACTGGCAAGCAGTTAAAAGTGCTTATATTAAACCCCAATGCCGAGGTTGTTGTGCGTAGTACTTTTGACGTCTCGACTAAGTCCTTGATCTAAAACCTGGCCCTGCGTAACTGGAAGAAGGCAGCCAATATAGCATTCAAGCATCCGGAAATGAGAGCACACAATTTGGAAGCAGTTAGAATGGCGCTGTCTACCGAGTTTAAAGATTCATCCACCAAAATAGGCGAGATGTTTCGATGTAACTTCGATTTGGAGTCCACCAACATTGCTCGGAAGGGCTTCTCTTTGACTTTTTCGGCGGTTGCAAAAGCAATTTTGAAGTTACATCGGCGAATGTCATCGTTCGATAAATTGGCCAAATCTTTCGCTGGGTAGCCCAACAAGTCCATCTCCTGCAACTGGTCTTCGATAATACTTTTCAGTGGCGAAATGACGAGAATCGCCGCATTACCATTTAGCTCGTAGTTCTTCACGCGTACAAACATTTGGTAAATTAAACTCTTGTAGTATCTGGTCGGCAAAACTGCCAGGACATCTCTGTCGGCTAAAAGAGCCCTTACTGCTGATTCTTGCTCTGGTTTTAAAACAATTTCTCTACCACTAGATAAATTCACATCTCTCAAAGCACTCTCTACGACATCCACATCTACCGCTGCCATCTTGACTGTTTGTTGAAAAGTGAAATGCGCATTTCAATGTTACTCATTATGGCTCAAACAATCAGGAATTTGCGGACGTCAGCGTCCGCAGGTATGAACAAAAGGGGGTTCTTAGAGCAGGCGTCCCCTCCCCTTTTTCCCTTCCTCCATATCCCCTATCCCCTACTCCTTTCGACGCCTGCTACTCAGGCTAGTTTTTTTCCGAAGGAAAAATTTAGGGCTCCTGTTTCAAGGCAAGTGAAGACCTTGAAAGTTTGAAAAGAAACAGTCAGGTAAGTCGACCTGAGTTTAAGAGTTCAAGAAAACTCAAAAGAGGTCTGAGTTTCAATGACCTCATTATCCTTGTATTATTCCTAACCTGGAATATCAATGGACTTTGCGCCCCGCGCTACTGTCGTCAAAGGGTTACCACTTTGGATGGAGAAGCAAACTTCCTGCTTGGAAGAGTGTCCGCATTTAGTCGTGCTATTTGATTCAATAGTACATTTATGTTTTCATCAAAGAGACCATTTTCTCAGTCTTTACAACCAGTGTGTTTATATACATTTTCTATGTCCTACACTCTACATAAACAATTGACAGAATTGGCTTCATCGCCTGATGGAAACTAGCAGCAAAGCAGTCGAATAATATTTTTGTGAGACAGACAGATGACATGAATCATGAATATCACAGGACTTAAAATATTGAAGTAAACGTGTACCGATGGACGGACAAAAAAATAAGCAAAACAGAAAATAAAGTTACGGTCGCTAATTGTAATGTTGAGAAACTTGACCATTAAAACTAACAATAATTGTTAGAAGGTAAGTCTTATATAACGTCTATTTCCATAATCAAGCAAAAAAACTCATAAAAAATGGGACGGGATCGGGATGGCGGGATTGAGAAGAAAAAAAGGCAGGAAAGCAGGATTTGAGAACCCCTATTAAGGACCCTCTATAATTCGTCTATCTCATTTTTTGGACCTCCTTTAATTCTAAGGAATGTTTGAGTGTGGCAGCGTATCAGTCATTAGACCTGCAAATCAAGCCATTAAATCCCTTATATGACTTGCAGCTATTGCACTGCTCTGTGTAAGTGTGGAAGAACCGCTTGTGAAACCTCTGGAAAGGTTCTGCCTTTTTAGAGTGATACAAGTACATCAAACATCCCAGAAACAACTGGAGGGCAGTCGCGCAATGTAACTACACAAGATCGCAAGATCTTCAAGAAATAAAGGTTCAAAATAGCAATTGATGAATCTGCATGCCATGGTTTTTCAAGGCAACTGATTGATGATGTTGTTAACAAGTGTGAGAGTATATTCACCATAGAAGATCTGCTGAGTGATTCTCCTGTAATTTCTGTTGACAGTGTGGTTTCATAGACCAATTATTTCTTGAAGACAGTCAAACAGAAAGCCACAAACTGTAGAAATTATTCTAGGCAGAATGTGTGGGGTGGGGGTTCTGTCTTTTTGACTATCTTCTCTGAGTAATATTGGACAGTAATCTAAAGCCTTAACTAATAATTATTGATTGATTAGTGCGCTCTTTTTTTCCGTGAAATCGACCTTCAAATTTACGCTGTGTATTATAAAAGGATTCCATTGTTTGGTCAAGAAAGCAAAAGAAGACAAAAGCTTTGCAGTAACTGGTGTTCAATTAACAAATAAATTTGACGGTTTCACTGTTTAAAGACACTTAACATTTTAAAATTGAATCAAACGCAATGCAGCGATGATATTCAAGCTACCAGCAGTGCTGTGAGTAGAAATAATGTTTATGAATTGCTGTTATGATAATAATTCAAGTTGTGAATTTAGGTACATTAATAAGGACTTCAAGTTACAACATTTGTAAAACGTTTGACTTTTATTGAACACAAAAGCTTGTAAATAGGTCCTCGATGCATGCGATATTTGTAGTAGCGAATAGTTAGAAATTGTTGTAACCATATTGTTAATGAATTACCAGCTCTCGTTAATTAAATGGAAAAATTGAAGTTTTAATTCTTGGTGTTTGTCTTCAAATCTTTTTTTTAGAAAAGTGTGGTCAAAAATTAAGGTGCGTATTATACACGGACACATATTATACACGGGTAAATACAGGTAATCAATTACATATCAATCAGTTAAAGATTAGTGTTGATAAAAACAAGTTTATCAATTTTTCTCGCAAGAGTCATGGTCAAGGAACCGGCTCTTGTTATTTCTGACCTTCATAGATTGTCAATCAGACGCGTGTTTTTGTATCTTCAACATACCCAACAAAGCTGCCCACACAAGGTATGTTAAAGAGATCAAGGGCGACAGAAATATCCACAACATAAGTGACCAGTGCACTGATGGCTCGAACAAAAAATGCGAAAAGTTTCGAGCGCAAGACTGCCATGGGCACATACAGCGAATGAGAGCAGCTGTTTGGGACCAACGTGAGCAAATCAAAGATCTGACAGCAAGGGATTCTAACATGGCCATTGCTTCATATGATCCTGAGGAGGATTATTACCTTGTACGGGTAACGAATGAGGGCAGTGAGACACTTCAAACATCACTCTCAGATGCACGCAATAACTCATTCCCACCAGGTGCAGAGGTAGTCAAAGGGCATTTTTACACCATCGTCGATAAAGGGAAACGCCTCTAAACCTTAAATGCTTTTAAAAAAAGCCCTTATTTACGTTGCCACTGTCTGGTTCATTTGCTCAGACCTCTGCCCCAAAATTGTCAACGGCAAAGTTTTCTCACTTTCTGAGCAAGAATACCTTGATATTCTGGATGCACTTGACAGATTTTAAAAGGGCTGTCACACTGTTTGCACTCTCTTTAAAACATGGTTCTTAAAGGTTTCATTAACATTAACAACCACTTTTCCAGGACTTAGTAGCAAAATTCAAGGAGTTCACTTTCACAGGCACATATTTTTTTTGTCACAGTCATGCCAACAAACGAATACCTGTAAGTGCAAATAACTTTCGAAAAACAACGGATAACAGCTATTCCTTCAGCTTTCCAGCACAGAAGTTAATATTTTGTCTAACTCAGCCAGATCATTTAGCTTGTCCTTTACAGATCCAAGGTTCAAACAAACAACTGCAACCATTCTTCAAAGACTTTTCAAGGACCACATTAGATTTTCAAGGACCACCTACTAGGAATACAATTTTACAGATTGTACAAAAATGCACATTTTCAGTCTTCTCTAATAAAGCTTTCAGGCTTGAACTGTTTGCTTCACCAACTTCTCTACATTTTCAGTTCACTTGTCTTAAATTGATAGTTGATTATTGCATAAAACATTGAGCACTCTATGTAAATAACCTTTAAATTCTCTGAGCTATGATTTACATTGACTTGGACAACCAAAAAGCAGCAAAAAACACTTTCCAGGCCACTACATTCAAAGCTGAAGAAAATTCAAGGGCTTTCCAAAAACTTTCCCTAGAATTCAAGGACTTTTCAAGACTGTGCGAACCCTGAGATCTTTTTAGAGCATTTGCCTGAGTGGCAAACGTTAACTTAGCAGTTGCCACTGCTTTGGAGAGCACGAGAGAGCGGTACAACAGTTGCTCGAGGTGCAGCCAAAAGCAACTCTAGCCTCTTGAGAGCTCTCCAAATTCGCAAGTGATCAGTGTCTCGACATACATAACATTAAAGTGCAGAAAATTGAAGGCCTATTGGCACAGAGTCTTGATGAGACAAAATCTGTCAATCTTCCTAAGGTCTACTCGCGAGAGTCCATACCAGCAAGAAGGAATCAGATAACGTCTGTCCAAACAGCTGAAAAGTGGCCTCAATCGGAGAGGTTCAAGAGAAAAATACCTCCTATTTTAAACTCACGTGGAAGTAGGAGTCCTAATAGGATGAAATTGCTTAAAGGTGTTGAAACTGCAGGAGGTGGTTCTCGGAAACAAAGAAGATCTGTACGCCATATGAACCCTGCTTGGTTGGGGAATTATTGGTCCAATAAGTGCATCAAATGTTTCGTCTGTCAGAGCAATAATGCTCCCACCTACCTAGTGGACAACCACAGGAAAAGGCAGGGTGACAATCCTACTGTCACTCTCACAGAACTTTTGGGCAGAATTAGAAAAACGTTTTGGTAACGCAGCCACGTTGACACGGGCCATTCTCGAACGACCCTCTACAGCACCTGCCTTCAGCGAAAAAGATGGTGCTAGACTCCAGAAACTAGCAGACTTATGCGCGGATGTAGACTGTCAAATGACTCACTTGCCAGGCCTAGCCTGCTTGAACTATCCAATAGCAATACGTCCAATCATTGAGAAGCTCCCAGCTTCCCACAGATCTAAATGAGAGAAGGAAATAGTGCGCTATGCAGAAGAGCACAACTACGTTTACCCAACATTTCATGAATTCTTAACAATGATACAGAACAAAGCAAGAAAGAAAAATCACCCTAACGTTTCGGCAGGAAGCCCTGCGACGAACTCTTGCGCTCAAAATCGACGTCGCGAGAATAATAAAAGACACTTTCCTCAATCTGGAGACGAGGTCAAACAAGGTCTGATGGACCCGGATAGTGGTAATAGGGACTTTAAGAACCCAGGACGCGGTGAGTAGGAGACGCGACCGGAAGTGACTTTTCCAGTTTCGGATGAAGAGCGCATGCGCTTGGCGTTTTCTCCCGCTCTCGAGAACGCGGCCTGAAGAGATTTGGCGTCGTCTGGAAAACGTGAGTATTTAGCCTTGTTACTTAAAGCAAATCACTATAATTACCAGTCTATCACAACTATTCTGTCAATTGGAATTTAAAATTTATTGCTTCTTCAAAGGTTAGGCATCATTTTTGAAACGAAAAGGACCAAAGTTGAATAGTTTAAAACGTTTTGTTCCCTCCAGGTGAGCAAGCACATGGCGTCGAGCAGATCTTCAAAGTAAGTCATCTAATTATCCTTGAAATGTTTCCCAAAATCTCATTTTCCTTCACAGTCGAGGGAAATTATCACTACATTCATGCGGCTATTCTCATGCTTGATACAATTTAGTTGTCAGG